TATTTCTCATAAGAGAAATGCCCTGATGGTTTTTAAGATAGTGTTATAACTGTTTTTCCGTCTCATCTTCAAATGGCAAATTTCTAAAGGGTGTAGGCAAAGTGTTTTTGAATGCTCTCATTTTGAATCCAAGTAAGCAACAGGATCATGTGGTTAGATTGTTATGCAGATGGTAAAGACTCAAACATGGTTTAATTTCTAAGTAGCAGAAGAAACCTTTTCGTCCTTCATTTTGAACGTATGTTATCTACATGGCTTGCTGGTCTGTCATCTGCCATTTATTTTTTCAAAGTGGCTTGGGACTTCTGCGTGTGTGTGTATTTTCATGTGTGTGTCTCCTTACATCTTTTCCTTGGGCAAATCTTTCAAGTTTTAATAGTTTTGTTTCATGTGGAACATTTATCCGTACTCTCAGTTAATACTATTTCTTTGTTATCATCTGATACTTCTATAATCTTCTGTAATATGGAGAATGGTACTTTCTGTCACATTCTAAATAAGGCTTTGCTGTTTTACGGCATGACATGATGTGCTATGATGACATTGTACTATCTAGGTTGCATTATATACACAACCTAATGTTCTTGCTGTTTTTTATTAGTACCTGCATTCAGTGGCATTTCCAGTATGCATTGCTCCTTACTCTTCAACTTTGTTTTGTTTAGTTGGTGCCTTCAGTCTGTTCAATGTCGTCTTATTCATCCATTTTGGCTGCCATTCCTGGAGGTTGCTCAAATCTCTTTCTGATTTTTGAGTTGGCCTAAATAGCTGCTGTCTAAACAGGAAGTTAGCAAAATGCGTATATTTATCAATAGACCCTCTTAGACTTAGCAAGACATACCAGTGCTTAGTGCTGTTTGCCTATCCATAAAGAAGATTTCATCTCTTAACCTAGCCTGCTTTGTCTCCAGACATTTTAAGTTTCCTGATAATATTCTGTCTCTGCTCTCATGATTTGATTTCTTTTGTCTCTTGAGAGGAGCATTGTTACAGGCCAACTTGAATTTTTGATGTTGGTCTCTCTTCCCTTATTCAGTTACTAGTTTAAATGAAGAAATGTAGCAGGTTGTTCTCAAACTGTTATATCAGAATTTTGTCTAGTTACTCTTTTAGTTAGTTTTATTCATTAATTACAGATAACAAAATGATTAAAGTTTTATCCTCTCTGCTTGGAGTAACATCTACTAGAGAGCAGGTTGCCCCAGTGAGGGGTCCCAGACTTGCTCAAATGCATCCTTCCTCAGGAGCACTTTCTGGGCTGGGACACATGGTGTCACAAGGGACAGTTGCTCCAGTGGCTGCTGGGGGCTGTACCCTGTGGCACTGCCACGGTTGAGCAAGTGTTTGCTGTTCTGGGAAGAGCTGCTGGCCTTCTTTGTCATGCCCTGCTGTTGGCCAGTGGCTGTGCAAACTGCTGTGCCTGCCCGCCTTGGCTGTGCTCTAGGCCAGCCCCTTTCATAATGTGAGGGTTCAACGATCATACAAAATCTAGTATTTAATGTTTTCTAAATTTTTATGTAGATACTATTCTAAGAGCTGCATGCCACTCAGTTCCTCAATTAAGATTATTTGCAGTTCAGGTTTAGCTGTCAAATTGTTACATGCTTAGAAACTATTCTAATCTGTATTTGAGTTCCTCATTTCTAGATTTAAGGATTAGTTTGTTAATACTTATAAAACATTTGGGAATAAGTATTTGGTCAGTCACATGAAAGCATCTTTGGTTTGCTAAATGTTAAGGAAATTTTGTTATTGGTATTCCTGATCTTTTCTAGTCTCTTAAACAAAATGTATATATAAATAAAGTTTTGTTTTCAGAAACATTTATGTAAATCTTAGTCTGAATTTTTAAGACTATTTTTTCCACATCTTTATGTAGTGTAATATCATAGGGAAGAGAAGGGCTTGTTGGTCTGAATTATGAATAAAAACTTATAATAGAATTCAATACCTCAAAGATCATGCTTTGAAATGAGAGGAATATTTGTAAAATTCTAATTTACATTGTTCCTTGTTGCTATGGAAAATAAAGATTTTCAATAAACACATTGAGCTGTAACAAGTAATTGCCCAACTTGAAATTGCTTTTGCTGTGTGAACTACAAGGAAGGAGATGTACCAATTGCTTGCATCTAGGATAATGTAGCACTGATAATAAAACTGATTTATTTTTGAATACTCATTGTGTCAGAAGGAATCATATAGGTTCTTTCATGTGTCTTCCACAAATTTTTTTAGTCTCTTTTGCAAGCATAGACAGTTAATGCAGCCTTAGATTACTGCAGTTTAATCTTCAGCAAATATGTATAGAAAGGATAATTCTATGGGAAAACATTCCCTTGTGATCTTACATTATCTGTTTTATTTCCAGATACATAATTTATTACAGGAATAGCAGCTCTGTTTTCTATCTTGCTGTTAATTTTCATGGGAACTGGATAGGCATGACTTGTTCTAATAGCGAAGTCAGAGTAGCAGCTCTTCAGCAAGGATGGGACCAATTTAAAAATCGTCAGTGTTAGTTCCCACACACAGGAAGGCATTACTGGGATGTTGAGTCGGAATCTTGTTATCAGCAACATGTCTGGAACGTGATATCCGTTAGGCGGTGGGGTTGTGCTTGGACTGCAAGTTGTAAAGCAACTTTCTTGTAGCCTTTTTGCTGTAATGAGTAGAAGTAATGAAGTTCTTGGCTATCTGTCTTCCCCAGTGTGCTTTGTTCAGCAGAGCTGTGTTTTCTGTGTGTTCAAAGTACCTCAGAATAGTTTTGTTTTTCCTTTTTTTTTTTTTTTTTAAGAACATATATGTATGAATAAAGTAAAAACATGCTAGCTGCTGATGTAATTCCCTTAGACTCTAACTACTTATTGTCCTCCTGGAAATGGCTTGTAAAATGGGCAGTAAGGATTGTCTTCTGGCTCATGGTCTGGGTTTTAGTCATTTTTTTTCAAGGTTCTTCAATAATAAGGTTCCAAACAGGAAATGCATTAGGTAAGTATCAAAAAAAAAAACCCCACAAAAAAAACCACAAAAAAACACCCAAAAAACAACCTCAAACCAACAACAAAACAACCCACTTTTCTAGTTCATTGTTAAGTATGTTGATAGCACAGTTGACATACTTCACACATTTAATATTTTTAACTCTATCAATACTGTAACTCTGAGCAAGGATAAAACACTGTGGTAGAATGTGCTAAATAAACTGTGAAGCTTTCGTCTGCAGTCTAGAAGTAATGAACAGTTCTTTCTTGTTGAGCAAAATATAGCTTTCATAGTTGCAAGTTCATTATATGATGATGAGGAACAATGTTCTTGTGTGGAAGGTACGAAAACTGCTCTTCTGCAAAAAAGAGCCAACCACATTTCTGAACCACAACATTAAAAAGGGATTCTTGTAGTTAGAGAAGTCCTAGTTTGAGCTCTTACCATATTCCATTGAATGCTTAAGAGCCAAAGAATCCAAGAAGAAAAGAGAATGTTAGTATTTGTTTAAAAAGTGATCTTCAGTGAAAGTTGATGGGCTGTATCTTTGGAGATTTCTACTATGCTCTCTGGTGTTGGCACTCCAGAGCCCCTTGTTGTCCTTGGACTGACTTTTGTAACTCTGTATTGTTTGTTTTCTATACCAAGGCATGTATTACCCAGATATTTCTTAAGAAGGTGCTTAGTTTGTTCTAGACTAGCCTGGATTAAAGCTAAGAGGTATGCAGAATGAACAGTTGAACAACAATGACATTGGTGTAAAACAGAAACCGGTTTGGTTTGCCCAAGGAGGTCTGTGTCTCCCAGCAAAAGAATTAAAAGTACTAAGTGTTCTTGGGCCACACAACCAGGATTTCCTTGGACAGTATCCTCAGCCTGTGTTATAATTAAATATGCTGAAGAACATGCTGGGATTGGAACAATCTCAATGGGTTACGTAGGTGAGACTGAAAGCCTACTCACTGTCAGTTTGCTCCATGTTCAGCACATACTCTAGTAGTTTCAAAGTGGTTTGAACTGGTTGATTACATCAGCTGCTATATAATGCTGCTTATTTTTATGAGAGGAAAGAAGGTGTGGTAATGGCACTTTACCTAAAAGTGCTATTAACCTCAAAGCAAGTGAGATTGAAATCAAGAATCTGAACTATGGAGCATATTTTGGACATCTCCGTGGTACGTGTTCAGAGTAACAGCCTTCTCAGGAAGTCGATGGAGTGTTGCTAGATAATATTTTTTCAATTATTGTGTACTTTATTGTCATCATTTATATGATGGCTTTTGGGTTTTCCTTCAATTCATTTGTGACAATACTGCCTGTGGCCCCTTGAGTTCATTGTTTTAAATTGTCATCTGTGAGACAAAACTGAAGGTATGTACTTAACGAAAGCCTTTATGGTTTTGGCACATGGAAACAAATTTGAAATCGTCCGTTGTTCTTTTATACCTCCAAGTCATTTCCTACCTTTAAAATATGTGTGTATCTTAGGTTTTGAAAAACCTAACACTGCATTCCAAACTTGAAAGAAATCAGAACTCTCAATTTATAATTTCTGACACTGCTGGTTGCAGGCAATGATCTAGAAAATTAAATCAATATAAGGAAGTTTTCAGGAAGCTTAAATAAAATGTGCAAGCTTGAGATGAATCTTCTAATCTTCTAATCCTGTCAGAGTAACCCCATTTTTCACAAATTGAAGCAAGGAGCTTCAATTAACAGCTTTTTACACCTCACTCTATATCAAAGTCTTTTGCTCATAGTGCAGCAGATTAAATGAACATTCAGTTTCATGCAGTGAAATCACTGACCCTTGAAGGTGTGTGTGAGGGGGACAGGACAGAACTGTGTAGCTTAACTGGGAAGCTGGAGTACAATGGCACAAAATTGATATGGACAGTGTCAGTCTTTGTATGTACAGTTAGAAATTTAGTCGGCATGACCCAACTCTTGTGCTCTGAATTTTTATTTCGCTTTCTAATATTAGGCAAAGGATCTAGTATGTTGTGTGCACTTCATGCTACAGCATTAATTTTTTGTACATGTGCATAATACATTTAATTTAATGTATGTTATGTGATACAGGTTTGGTCTCTACATCAAGGTCTGTGACAAAACAACTGTAGAGTGTATTAATACTCTTTTAGCTGAACATATTCAGCTAAAACATTATTTCAGTAATTGGTTGAAATAATGTTAATTATTTTGTAAGTAATTCTATTCATTAAGGATAATTTTATTGGGAAAATACAGGTAGGGACAGGCAGATATCCTACAAACTATCCTTTTGCTTGTTCTTTGAGATACTGTCATAGCTGCCTCATGGGCAGCTGAGGTCTCAGGTTTACCAGTTCTCTAGGTGCATATTTTCCTGATCACGATAGGTAAGCATGATGCTATAAGCAGTAAACTTAAAAGCCAGGTGAAAAATTGTATTGTGTCTTTTAAGACTGCCTACCACTGGACTTACGTGGTTGTTCTGGAGTTTCAAACAAAAAGGGTGTGGATTCTTAATATGAAAGCATTCCTGTAGGTTTCAAATTGAAGATCAGAATGAAAAGGATACAAACTTAATTTCAAGATGAAAGTATGCTGCAAGTTTTATATGGCCTTCTGAAGGGATGAATCTTATCATTTCTCACTGCTTTTTTTTTTTGTTTATAAGCAGTGTGGATTCTGTTGGAAGCCTTGGGTGTTAGATCTTTGAGGTAAGAACTCAGCCTAAGAGATTTCTGGTTAGTGTTTATTGGGGAGAAGATGTTGGTATTATGAACAGTGTTCTTAGAGTGAAAAGGGTTTCATTGTTTTTATGAAGACATTGCTTTAAAAAAAGTTAGTGTGCTACTTTTCTTGAGCTTTTGCAGTGCCCTGTAGAGTGCTGCATGAACTATTCTGTAATTTCTTTGAAACATAGTTATTTCTGTTTTTCTGGGAGAGAACCATTTCTGTGACTGAGGTACCGCAACTTGGTCATAATGGATGAAAGAACCAGTCACTGCTTTTCTCTTGTGTGTTAAACTAAAATCTGAAATGGAGGAGGCTCAGTGGGCTTTAACAGATAACTAAGAGTGGTTGTTTTTAGCCTTAGAAATTGCTAGTAACCATAATGTGGACAAGGTGACTCATTTGCAAATCTCTGGCTGGTGTGATTTTAGCTGATAAGTAGATTAATTGCAATCTCCCACAAATTTAGTAAATCATACTTTTTTCCTTCTAAGATATTAAATGCTAGGTTTTGTCCATACAATTTTTAGCAATGTTCCATATGTATTTTATCAGAATCATCACTAGTTTATATTAATATACTTAATCCTGATAACCTTTTATATTCGGGATTTTCAAATGTATCTTTGAATTTTGCTCTGCATCCTGGTTAATAGATAAGTACCGTGTTGTTAATTTTTACATATATAACCTCTATGATAGAAAAGCCCATAAGCCTTTCAACTAGAGGAGGAGGAGAAGTTGGCCTATAACAGCTACTGTATCTTGTGTATACTTCGTGTTTCCAAACAAGCTATAGACTTTCACTGCCTACTTTTGGTCTCTAACAAAGGCAGTGCATCTGCTCTGTAATGCAGGACTCTCCATCAGTTTGTAAACTTTACCTTTTAACTTTAAATTTCATTTAAGAGGGGTTTATAGCCCTTATGATTCTTCTAAGTTTTTCTCAGGCTCCCCATGCTATTACCACCAGAGCTATCCCTGTCTGTGCAAAACTTGGAGTTTGAGAATGTGATCAATTAATTTTAAGGTAATCTTGCCACTAAGTGTGAAACTGCTGTAGTGGCCAACCTTTTAGTGAGGGGTTGAGTGTAGCTTTGTATAACACAAAGGCATTGATTGAGGAATGGGAGCAAGGGTTTGTGATTGGGTTGAGGGCATGAATGTTTTAGTGGGAATCTTAGCAGGTGGTTAGAGAATGGCTTAGCAGTGTTTACACAAAGTTTAAATGGACTAACATAAATGCAGAGGAAGGAAGAAGGAGCCTCCACCAATTGTTAGGGCTGGTGAAGAGATCAAAGGTGAAAATCAATCTGCTTATTTTAAAGGTAGGGCTCTTTTTAAGCCACCTTCTAGTGAGAATGCTGCAGCCATACAGATTTATTTGCTTGATAATATAAGCTCTTATCTTGCAAATGGACTTGTACTGCTTCTGATTGCAGCTGTGCGTTGCTGTTGCATTGTCATTTGTTTTAGCAGTTACTTTTTCTCTTCATCTACTCTCTCCACTGTTCTATGAAGTTATTTCATAATTGTAAAGCTTTTTTTTCGACATGCAGTTGATTTAACTTAGACAGGCACAGGCTCTTTGAAATTCTGTAAGTAGTGTATTTCAGTTTACTAAGACAAAGGTATCACAAATCTGTCTTAATAGTGGTGTAGGATTTTAGAGCTCCTCTGTTCATATGCTTGTCTCCAGTTTGTGGAGTATCAGTTTCAATGTTACAGTTGCGTGTTTGCCAGTAGTAGTAATTTCTGGCATGTACTAAAATCATAAATAGGTAAAGTATATATAGTTGGTCCCCTCCTTGCCTTTCTTTTTCATGTTTTTATCTAAGTCACTGGGACTGTTGAAGCAAATGTGGTGGTCAGAGGATTTTTTTTTTTTTTTTTTTGTCTGAAAGGCGTGATATGTACCGAGGTGCAAGGCAGCCTTCTTAAATGTTACTGATGCCCGTCATTCAGTAATACTTGGCATCACACTGGACCAGTAATGTGCACTTTGCTTTAAGGAGCTTTTGGTGTTTTTTCTTTTGTGTTGCTCTGCTTGCTTGTATGTTTTGCTGCACAGGAATGTTGAGCGACACAGGCATGTCAGCCAGTGATGCAAAATGTGCAGTTGTGATGTTACACCAGGGAGAACTGGCAAGGTACGGGACTGAACTTGCAGGTTATAGTAGATGGAGATCTAGCTAGGACATTCAGTATGTAGTGGTTTAAACCCAGTCAGGCAACTTGTTCACTCACTCCCCCCCACCTTCTTTCCCTCTCACTACTCCCAGAGGAACGAGACGAGAATCAAAAGAATGCAACTCCCACAGGCTGAGATAAGAACAGTTTAGTAACTAAGGTATAACACAAATCACTACTGCTACCACCAATGGTAATAATGATAAAGGAAATAACAAGGGAAGAGAATACAACACCTCACCACCAGCCGACTGATAACTCGCCCCCCCCAACCTGACCAAGCACCGACCGATACCTCCTCCAACCCTGCAGACCCCCAACCCTTCCAGGTAACTCCCAGTTACATCCTGGGCATGACGTACTGTGGTATGGAATACTTCTTTGGTCAGTTCGGGTCATGTGTCCTGTCTCTGCTTCCTCATGGCTTCCCCTCCTCCCTGGCAGAGCATGAGGCTCCCAAAGTCCTTGGCCAAACCAAAACATCATTGTTATCAGCTCTGTTCCCAGGCCAAAAGTCAACACAGCACTGCACCAGCTACCAAGAAGGAGAAAAATTACTGCTACTGCTGAACCCAGGACACAGTGGAATCTGGTGAGTTACCCAGCTAGCCAGGTGCAGGTTTCAACTTGAGGGTGGGCTGAAGCTCTGCAATTTACCCTTAGCCATGCTGACTAGATCTCCACTGACCCTAGTGGGAGCTCTGACTCCTCCACTCACACAGACATCTTCTACACTTGAGTGCTTCAACATGGAAGCTAAATCCAACTTCAGGTGTCCTCTGTTGTCCCTCAGCGTTTTGGTGATGGGCACAACAAAAACCAGGCATACACTTTTGGGTATGTGCTACATCTGTACTGTCTTTGCTCTGAATAGCAGTATCCACACTGACATTCACACCAGTGCCTGCTAGTTAGAGATAACATTTACAAATCCAGTTAGTTGGGTCTTTAAGGGTTTCATTGTCAAAGTTATCTTCCCCTTTGAAGGTTTACCAGAGCCTGATAAGATTGGTACAGAAAACAATGCCCCATAGAACTTTTTGATGCTCTGATGTTGTATGTAGTTACTGGTTTAGCTGTATTTGCTGAACTGTCTTCTGTGTGATATATGAGCTCCAACCTCTAATTGCTCTAGATTTTAGTTCGTGTGCGTATGGAGAACAGACTGATGCAGGGTTTGTAGCCAATGCTTTTGTATGATTCTGTTCCACAGAAGTAAAGGTAATTCTTTAGTTGGAATGCTTAAATTTGTTTATATAGCTACCAACAGACTGTAATTGTGGGTGCTGCATTATTTTCAGCCATTTTCAAATATGAGGCAGTTGTAGACATTTTTTTCCAGGCATGACTGTGAGCATTGGTTGGTTGATGTGCAAAGTTAAGCTACACAGAAGAAAAAAAACCCACTGTGAATATATCAAGGAAGTTGGAGTAGTTTAGAAGCCAACATGGGTAGACTTCTAAAATGTGTTCTCAGCAATATATGGCTGCTCAGTGCCTTGTTTGTTTTTTGCCTCTGTAACCTTTCTGTTTCCAGTTTTAATCTTGTCAGGATTACAGAAACCCTGGCATACACAGAGGCCAGACAGTGCCAAGTCAGTTATGTCTTCTCTCTTGAGAGAGAATTCATGCTGAGCCCCACATTTGGTAGGAGCTGGAAACTGAAAATTGCTTCCTCTCTGAAGCAGTGTGTTGCTCCTCTGGAAGCTGTCATGGCAGGGCATAATGTTTTGGCAGAGTATCTGGGAGATGCCAGTTGGTACCTGCCAGTCAACTGTTGGGTTTTTTGTTTTGTTTTGTTTTTGTTTTTTTTTTTTTTTAATTTTAAAGCGTTGGCTGGGCTAATATGCTATTTGAGACTTTCAGTCATGTGTTAATTATATCTCATGAAGATGACCAAATACTTGTAAATGAAGTTTGGAGGGTTTTTAGGAGGAAACTGTCTAGTAAATAAATTGGCTGACTAGGGTTTTGCTGGATATAAGCAACTACAAGTGGAAGCATTCTAGTAATTTCTTAGTCTAAGTAAAACACTTAAGAAAACATTGTAGCAAACAAAGCTTGAAAGTATTCAGCTGTAACATAGAGTTTGTAGGTATTTTTGGGGTGTGTTGGTATTAGAGGCTAAAACAATTGAAAAACTGAATCTGAAATCTTAGACATTAGGTATGCTGATCTCTTAATGTAAAAAGTCCTGATTGTGGTGATCACACTGGTAGTCACTTATGCTGAATATGATTAAAAGGTTTCTATTTTGTTTTTTATCATTTATTTAACTTGAGCATTCTACTTTTTCTGTTCTGTAATGCTTTCAGCTTCTCTGAAAATAGACCAGTTGCTATGAAAATAGATTGTTGGCACAGTGGTGCTGCCTGGCTTTGGCTTAAACAGGTGCAGGCAACCAGTGGCACTCCCAAAGTTCTGCATGCAAAGAAGGGGCATTTCCTTCTTAACTGTTATTGTCTGTATATAGCAGCACCTGGAAAGGTCAGTGCTGCTCTGCTAGTGGCTTGAAGAGTATTTTAGGTTATTCTCTCTGAAATTCTTACCTCTTTCCCTTAAGTAAAAACGTTATCTGGACAATTTGTCTCAAGATTTTATGTTGTTGGTCTTCAGCAGCAAGTTGTAAGGTTCCTGACTTCCTATATGTTTTGGCTCTCAATACTTTAATGATCCAAATTGCCAATACGAAGCACTGGTTTCTACATTTTCTGTAGCTGAGTTGCTTGCAACTATTTGCTTTTCCAGGCTCTCAAACCAGAGAAGAAATGCAGGAGAACAGAATTACTCTTCTGTTATTTTATTAGCTTTACTATTATTTTTACTTCATTTACTTTTGCATTCCTCATATTAAATGAGGTAACGTGTTCTCTATTTTCAACTGGGAAGAAAGAAATATAAAAGTAACACTTAATCCAATTAATGTATTTTCCTGCTCTGATTCATTGTGATGACTTTGAGCATCTGGTAGTAACTGAGCATGAGCTGCTTAAAGTCACAGAAACCCAATTCCCATTATTTCTGCTCATTGAAGGGAATAAATGAATTACCAGACACTAATCTTTGGATAATTGCTCGCTGAGCAGGAGATCTTAGTTCTTAAAGAAATTAGTTTTGTAAGTTTATGGAACTGTCAGAAGTAGTGAACTGTTTCAAAAGGTTAACCATAAATGAACAGAAGCTGAACTTTCAGTTTTTATTCATAACTATTGCAGTTGAACCTTGCAGTGTATATAGTATGTGGAGATAGATATCTCTCCCCTTATGAGATTTAGTATAACTTACCAACTGAAGTTTAAGCTGAAGATTTAAATTCATGTCAATGTTTCTGGTAGTAGGAGAGTTAGGATGTATGTGTATTGCTGTTTTGAATGACCAGACCATTTTGGGTTTGAAGTAACTCATTTTGGGTTGGTCTTCTAATTCAGACATAAAGGAAAATGTGTGTTTTTTAGCTGTAGACAGTCTACCCTGTGGCATTACGTCATGCATTGTAGCTTTCCCCGATTCTCCTTTATTTGACATTAAATTAGGCAGGTTAGCTTTCAAAATTCTTTTTGTTCTTGATAACTGGGTGGACTTGTGATTTATGTCTTTGTGGTATTGGTATTTGAAAGTCATGCTCCTTGTCACTGGTGGCCATCACTCCTTTGCCTTTGGAGATCAACCTGAAAGAGGGTGTTAGGAGTCATTATTCATAGCTCCTACTCCTTAGCTCTAGGCCACCCTTATGCTTTTGACCTCACTGGAATCTTTTACTTTGTCTGAGAGCAGTCTTCCTCCCCTACACATAAATCTGGAAACATTCAGGGCCCCAAAATAATCAGATAAGCAAGCCTTAAATCTATCTAAACATACTGTATCAGAATACAATGCCAGTTAATTTCAATATCTTCTATTTGCAGGATAACTAAGGAGTAATATAAGTGGTTCCTGGATCTTTCTGACCTGCTGAGTACTTTGTCTCTGTAGATTGTTGCTCTGGCCAGTTTATGCATTTTTTTTTTAGGCTATGAAAATCTGTATTTGCCTCCGTCAAATTCCTATTCTGCAGCTGGTCTTTACAAATAACAGTATATATTTCCTCTGATTCTCTTACAGTGTATGTTACAATGTTTATTATGTTGCATCTTTGATAAAAATTTCACAGGGATCCTGGCAAAGGGGTAGCAATACCCTGGTTAATTCATTTTAAATACTCTGATTGGAAGTAATTGTTCTATGCAGTATGTTTCTGCCGGTCAATGAGGACTGGACTTCTTTCCTGTAGACAGTCTTTTCATTGTGGAATCTCTGTTTGAAATTTCCTCAATTTAAAGAAGTAGGCTTTATTTAATCTACTGCCATTTATTTTAACTGCTGCCAAAATATTAGGATATAGCAGACTTGCCATATAAAGGGCATAGAGATCTCAGTAAGTCATGCATGACTTAAATGTAGAGTTTTCATGGAATTTTATGTTAATACTACTGTAAATTTTTCAAGTGGCATTTTAATAAAAAGGAAAAAATACTGAATCTTTTAGACTTCACCTCGTTAAATTTGTGCCTGAAGAAATCAAATGTTTCTGTACCCTAAGGGCTAAAGTGATATCATCCACAGTTTTAAATACATTTTTAGTTACACCACTGGTGTTAGGGGTAGATAAAGCTATGCTTTTGAAACCACTTTTCTTTAGACTTGACCATGGTCAGACTCTCAGTTGAGCAGATGGGTTTTGCAGCTGTTCTTACCACACTACAAAAGAGGGAGTGTGTGTATGCATGCTTTCCTCTCCAGAGACAGGTTACAGCACTCCCCTCACCCTAGGAGGAGAGGGTGCTAATGACTCTGCGTAACTCCCAAAGGCTATGGAGAATGCTTGCAGTGAGCAGGGGCAGCAGGAGGAATGTGGGCATGGAGGTTTCCGTGCACTCAACAGTCAACCTTCAGATAACACGTAATGGTAGAAGTGTAAAAGGTATGTAGTCTCGGACATACTTGCTGCAATACATAATGTTTAT